GAGCTGAGGTGAAGCCACGGCCACAACGCCCTGAGTGGGAGCTGCTGCTGGGGGTTGCCCGGTCACAAACTGAATCTGCTGAAATAGATGTTTAGTTAACTTCACATGGCAGGAGTGAGGATTCACTTCAACTTCATTTAAAAATGGCCCAAACTGTGATGGGCTCAAGTCTGAAACAGTCTGACAAGGGATGTGCAACAGTGGCAAAAATACAATATATAATAAACCTATTTCAAGTGAAAATCCTGCATTCAGAATTGCATTTTTTCAAATAAAAGTGCCATATATGAACATGATAGCAGCAGGCTTAAGTATCAAAAGTGTTTATTATACAGAAAGTTTTTTTTTCTGGGTGTTTTCTTTAACATAATGCGTTTATTATCAATGTCATATCTTATTGTTTGAGTTAAGATTACCCACTTTATTTACTGTTGGGTAGTTTAGTGTATAACATTGTCAGAATTTGCATTAGAATGTTATAGCTTTCAAGTAAATATAGTCAGATATAAAGTAGAAAAGTTCAAATATAGTACAGTTACCTCAAAGCAGCACTTGGGTAAATTGCTTTCCATCATTGCTGAATTACACTGGAAAATACACATAAAGATTATATAATATTCAGCACTGGATTACTTTATGGCAGTGAAATGTAACTTTATTTAGTTTACATAATAAGACAGATGGAAATAATACAGAATTACAGCAACATCCTTCTAGTATGGCTATTCTTAATCTGCAGTATACAAGAGAACTAAAATGTGAAATTAGGCTAAATTGCACCAACTTACAATAACTTTATAATTTTTAAGCTTAAGTGTAGGATATTTGATCTTAAAAACAAATAGATTAAATGGACTATACTGAGGACAATGGCCCCAAATTTCGACATCAGTGCAACAAAAGTCAGTTTACCTGTGGTTCCTAGTTAGGACTATTTTCATGAACACATTTACAAAAGAACCTATGAACACAAATGTTTTCTCAGTTTTGCCCTGGTATTGTCTAATGCAACACAGTTTCATGTGGTAAGGAAATGACTGAACAAGTAAGAAACCTGACTGTGAAACTTCATAAAGATGAAAGGGTACAAGAGCTACTGAGCATAAGATGAACCGCAGTACAGAAGGAGCCGTGCTACCGATAACAGAAGGTGCAGTGATGCCATGCACAGTGGACGCTTTATGCAGCTGTACATTGAAAAACCGACTGGTGAGTTCTCCTGACCTAGCACAAGGATTATCTGTAGAAGTCAGTGTTTCAGTGACTCATCAGACAGTGTGGACACCACATGAAGTCGACCTCTATGGACAGTAGCCAAAGAAGGCGATTGCTCACAGGCTGCAAGATTAAACTCTCCACATGAGAAAGCCTGATAAATATTGGCAGCATATGCTTTGAAAGCATATATCATCGGGGTCAAATGACATTTATAGATGAGATAAAGGCACTAGGAATGTAATCTTAGGCCCAAATAATAAATGAACAGGTGACTCCCAGTCTCAAGAAGCTTGGCGTGAGAGGAAATTTGTAGCTTGACAATGATCCAAACACAAAGAGCAAAAATCAAGCAAAGGCTTTTAGGATTAAAAAAAGGGGGATATGACTTGGTCAACTATATGCCCTGACTTGAATCCAATAAAACTGCTTTGGAGTATATTTAAAAGCAGAAGGTTGAGCAACAAATAGAGCTGCTGAAAAGAATTGTCTGTGAAGAACAGCAAAACATCTCAAGACTGGCATCATCCATTTGCAGGAGGATCGAACCTGTCATCAAAAATAAAGGCAAGCAAATAAATAAATAAATAGAAATGGAATCTCACTGTAGAAGGGCCATACTGACTTTTGTTGCAGTTGTTTCTCAAATATGGACATTTCATTTGACCTTACAGCCTTTAGGTTTTTAAAATAATTTGTCTTCTTTTATCTTGGACTTTAAAAACATTTTAATGATAGTCAGATTAGCTATCATTTGTTTGCATTTATAAATAAAAAATATGCATGATTGTGACTCAGTTTTGCTGGGATGTTTGTATGATAACTGAAAATGGATGCCAGCAACAGGAAAAAGGCCAAATCGGCAGGATGGATGTGTTAACTGAAATACAGTTTATTTTACCAAACCCTGATGGAGGTGGATGCAGGCTGAATGGCTGCAGGGCTGAGATGGATGGACTGGTGACCGGTGTCACAGACGAGGCTGCAACCAGTCAGCACAATCTGTTCATACCCAGTTAAGTGAAAAGCTGGGGAGTTCCCTTTCTTCGGTGCGTCACCGTCACCGATAAATAATGAGGGAATAATAAACAGTTAACCACCTGTCGGACCCGCAGCACAATGAGACGGGCCATAGAGAGCCTCTCATGCATGGGTAACTTATTTACTCAGCCCTTTTCACTTAACGAAGCAGAAAGAGACCCAAGACAATGGTTAAGTTTATCTATTTGGTAAACTGTCGTGGCCTTCTCAGGGAAAGTAGGCCTAAAACAATTCTCTAGGTTGGATATAGCTGGAAATATCTGGAAAAGGCTTTTAGGTGTGAGTCGCCTCTTGGTAATCCACTGATTAATATGAGTAATCCCATTCCCTGTAGGGACATTATGGCTGCCACGTGATGACCCCCAGGGAGAAATTAGCCTAAATGAACATGAACAGGTAGTGCACATATGGAAATTACAAAACGCTAAGATTCCAAAATCTCGATACATATGAAAAATGAAGCAGACACCACTATAAAGTCGCCAGTGCCTATGGCTGACAGAATAGTGGTAATACTATGCAATTGTTTGAGATATTATGTAGATAGAGAGAATAGAAAGTGGTATAAATTCATGTAAACTTTGATTTGAGATCGTCGAATCCTTATAATTATGCAAAAGTAATGGGACTTAAGTGGACTCGGGGGTGTTGGTAATATTTCAGAGATGTGCTTTTAATGGCTTTAATTCATCCGCAGCCAGCTGTTTTTTACTTGGCTTGGTAAAGGAGCGTGGACGTGGCAAGCTTGCAAAGCTCGTAGAAATTGGTCTCGGTCAGCCAGAGCAGCCTATGCTTCCTGCTAACCATCTGCTTACCGCTTACAAAAGGAGGATTTCGGGCAGCCAAGTAAAGGAATACGGGGCTCATAAAAACCTTTGAAGCTCTCGTTACTTATTGAAGGTGTAGCTGTGGTGACAGAGCGCCGTGTTAACGCCTGTTCGTGCATCCAGACGCACCTCTGATAAACGCTGACTCCATCCAAAGGATCATTTCACGGAGGCGTTCCCTTTTAATTATCGGATTGTGGCCAGTTTATGTTAGATTGATGCAGAACTACTTCATATTTGAGCCGATCCCAAATGATACCCAATGACTGGCTGGTTTACTTCAGCCAGAAAGTGAATAAAGCTGACGGACTAATGTGGACTAATCTGGTGCCGTATTTTAAATTAGGTAAAGGTTTGTTTACACGCACTGTAAACACTCAGTCAGTCTTCTTCAGTTCTGTTTTCTTCTTCCAGTCTTTAGGACCTACTGATGTGACAACTTAAACTATTTCAGAGTCACGTTGCAGAGCCAAAAATGTTATTTAATATAGTATTACGGTCACAGTTCATTAGTCTTAATATTAAGAGCAGACCATAAGCCCTTATTCCAGGGATTTGTGGTGGTTTTATCAGTAAGTGACAAAAAAAGAAGATAAAAGATAATGTTTTATTGTTAAAGAACTGTAGTCCGCTATGTATACTTTAATTTAATTGGAAAACTAAAACGCATGGATGGAAAAAGCATCCAAGGAGAAGTTAAAACACAAATTAATAAAATAAAATAAAAGATTTCCCGTTCCTCTGATGATTTCAAGTCCAAATCAAACTTCACCAAATTGTTTTAGTGTATTTGTTTTAACTGGGTTTAAAACGGGCGTGTTGTCCTCCTTCTTTGGGTGCGCACTGTGTTTTCGCCTGATTGCTCTGCTTTAACGGGTTTTCGGGGGCAAAGCTGACAGAACACGACCATCAGACTCCAACTCGCTTTAATAAGAGTTTTATATGGGGTCTCGGTGTCCGCTCATATGAATGCGTTTTAAATCAAATCACAGATGCACTTTTATTCAGCCGGTTAAAATAGCAGAACAAAACCGTCTTTAGAAATAAACCTTTTTATTCTGCTGGGCTTTTCTGAAGCCGAGAGAAGGAAGGAGAGAAAGGCCGAGGGGCGCCTCCTCCGCAGCTGAGGGTGACAGTTAGTTCATGGTTAACAGGATCATGAGCGCACGGCTCAGGCCGCACACTTCTCCTGTGCGCACTGAGCTGCAGCTCTGCGCACTGAATGAAGCCTGTGCAAAAAGAGTTATATTTAACACATCTGTTAAAGCGTTTTGATGGCAGAAATCCGTTTAAGACATTATTCCATGACGAGGGCCAGATTGAGTGTTGAGAATCCAATGAAACCTTAAAACTGATTTACATTAGAGATGCAGTGCATGGCGTCTGTAGCTAATGTAGAAAATGTAGATGGAGCATTATATTCAGTTGTGTAATAGTATTAGATTTTATTAAGCCTGTTAAGGTGTTTATTTTACAACACTGGAAATAGTATAAAATACATTAGTATTTTATCGAATAGTAGCCCATAGATGACAACCTGAATGGAAAAGAATAAAGTGTAGTTTATTAAAAGCATTTATTAAAAATCCCTAATGACTGTGCTTTGATTAGGCCGTTCGCCTTTGCCAAACAAAACTACTTGAAAGGAAAGTGGTCAACATGCAAAATTGATGACTGAGCTCCTTTTGTGCTCGGTACATTGTGTGTTGCTACTTATGAAGTCTAATGCAATCATAAATTGCGTCCTCTGGCCAATCAGCAGGCCGGGGGATGCGGCATGAAAGCGACCCATGCGGAGAACTTTGTTGAGCTCCATTGTTGAGGCTGTCAGTCCTGAGAGGAGCCGAGGGGGCAGGCCGTTATATAACTCCTCTCCCCAGAGTGAAGAAACCAGAGGAGTTAGCAGCCATTCGTACGACTGATTCTCTCCCAGCCGACACACGGAGTATTTAAGACTTTACACACTGATTTTTTTAAAGCCGGGACCATGATGATCCCAAGCATCATTGCGCCTCCTGCCCTCTACCCGGGGCTGTACCGGCCCGCTGCGGCTCTGCCGCTCCACCAGACCCTGCCGTCTTCCTTCACGACTCACTCCAGCTTTTTAGTGGAGGACTTGCTCAGGATAAGTCGCCCTGCCGCCTTCATTAACCGGACTGTCCCGTCAGCGAGTGCCTCCCTGCCCACTGCTACCACCACCCTGTCTTTCGCCGGCGCGCACGCGGAGCGCGCGGCGGTCACGACCTCCGTGACGCGCGAATCGTGCTCACCCAAAACGTCAGTGCCGAGCAGCAAGGACCCGAGTTTTCTCAAGTTTGGAGTGAGCGCCATCCTCGCACCTTCACCAAAGACGGGTGAGTACACAGACGCTGCGGCTTTCCCACTTTCAGTCTGTGCTGTGTGGTTGTTTAGACTCGTTTTTCCTTCAGGAATGATTTTGACATGTGTGATGTTCCTCCACAGCGTCCTCACCCCCTACAGTCCACAGCCTGCACTCCAAGACCTTCCCCGTCCCCTGCTTTGACGGAACCTTTCACCCCATATTCAGGACGCCTTATCTACCAGGTAGGCGCAACTCTTACCACGTCCCCTTTATCAAGACATGTCTCTTTTTAGTCTTTAGAATTCTGTCTAAAAAGAATTCTATGAATTAACTGCATTTAAATGTAAAATACTTTCAACCACTGCCATATATTTACACCGCAGTAGAAACAGAAAGGGGACAAACAGCCAGAAAAGAAGAAATCACTGTCTTATTAATGGGGACCACTGGCTCTGGCCCCTGTGCGGACCCACCCACCCACCCCCTAATTAACCAATTATCCCAAATCGTCACGCTCTAAATTTGAGGCGGGGTGGCGAGTTATATTCCCCCCTGCTTCCCATCGGAGGGCGTTGAACCACCCACACACCCCTGAGAGTGACTTTTACCAGGCTGGCCAAAGGCGTGAACCAGTCATGCACTAATTTCCCTATTAGGCTCTATTGAAAGTTTTCAATATTCTCACAAGACCACATAGCGCGTCGTTGATGCTGATTCTGCTGCGGCCACATGGCAGTAACAGTCAGGAGGAAGTCCAGTCACAAGTACAGAGACACGGCAAGTGTCCTGCGCGGTGGGATTTTAAAGTAAAGCGCTCTTTTAAACGGCCAAACACATCCGACATATCCAAGCTGGGTGAAGTTTTCCCCTGCGTGATTCATGGCCCATAAAACACCACTGACCCCCAGTCCTCATTCTCTCTGTGCCCTAAACGTTCCTCTATTCTCCAACCGGGCCAATCAACGAGTGGAGATAAAGAATAATCTCTTGGAAAAGTCTATAAAGTCGCTGGTCCGCGCTTTCATTCTGACAAATCATAATGGAGACGGAGTCTTTTCATGGGCTCAGCTCAATGCCTCAACAAAACAACTCCAGCGTCCTGAATAGCTTTTCGTGTTCATTTAAGGAAAATGATTTGAGGGCACGAAAAAAGCGC